TTGTCTGAAATTGGGGAAACCAATCAATTGGATTGATTGGATAAAATTAAGGAAATTACCCAATAATAGTGGGATTTGATGAGGGCGCTAATTTGACCTAGTCTTAGGTTAATGAGTCGCCACATCTATATATAGCCTCTCTTCTTCCTTAGTTTTGTATCTCTTCTTCTTCTCTATTTTTCTCTACTGAAACCTTAGCCAACACACACATCAGTGTGGCGGCTATCTCTCTCTTGGAATAACCAAAGGCACTATCCAATCTCTATTCTTCTCTTGAGTCTAGCAACCTCCATTGAAGGATATTGGGCATTCGAAGAAGTGTTCTTCTCTTACAAGACAACAATGTGGTGTGGATTTCCATCGGAGGACTTGTATTCTTCGATTCTGAAGAATTGATCAAGAACGCATTTGATCCGGAATAATTATCCGAATAAATGTATCTACTTTAAACCCTAACATGTCTATTGCATGATTCATGGGTTGAACATGATTGAGGGTGGGCAAAGGTAGCTTCTTCCGCACAAAAATTTAATTTTTCCCTCTTTTATGTTCATGGCCTACAAAAGGCTACTTACAAAAGATAGGATCAATCACACATATCATTCAACAACATAAAGCTACTAACTATAATTCCATGAAGAAAACGATTTAAAAGCTTACCCAATCTATCATTCAACAACATAGATTGATCCAATGATTGATCTTCCACTTGAACACCAATAGGTCTCACACTATATCATCAATCATACATGAACCATAATAAAAATCCTATTTTAATCCATGAACTTCGAAAGTCCATAATTTTATTAAAACCTAAGGGCCTGTTTGGTGTGATGTATAAGGCCTGATAGCATAAGCTTATACTATACGTTATGACATTTTTAGTTGTTTGGTGTGACCATCGTATCGTATAAGCTTATACAGCAGGATCCCTTTATACATCAAAATGATGTATAACTTAATCAGGCATAGGAGTGGTGGATTAGGCCTGATAAGGAGTTGATGTAATAATATTGCTTACAAGTACACTTTCCAAGAACTATTATATCATTTCAATATTTATATATTAAAATAATTTTTTTTAATATATTGATTTTTAAAATATTGGAGGATATTATCTTATACAATACCATACCAAACGCTGAATAGTATTAAAATTTAATTAGGTCTTATACTATCAGACCTTATACTATCAGGCTTTATCCTATACTATGCACCAAACATGCCCTAAGTTTCCAAAGTCTATGAAACTCAAGATTCATGGTGGATTCATACCTTAAAACTCCACACAATGGTTGTAGGAGTAATCTCCAAGCTTCAAAGAGATCATACACTTTTCCTACCCTCAAGAACACCAAAATAGTGCCACACAAGAAAGGAATTTTCTCTCAACTCAATGCTTTTCAAGGGTATTTGATAGGTGGGTTTTGCTTACAATGATGAGATGATCAACTTTCATGACCAAACTTAAGTGTTTTGATGGCTAGAACTCACTTTGATATTTTCAAGCTTTAACAATAGTGAAAATGCAAGGAAAGTTGGTCATGAAGTAAGAAATAACGTGGGGGATGAAGTTTAAAGACAATGAAGTGTCTTAATCACCTTTCTAATGATCTTCAACTTTTGGTCAAATTACTTACTTGGTAAGTTACCTATTTGCCCCATCATGTTAATCCTCTTTTTAATCCATGATTTAGACCATCTAACATGATTTTAACATTCACCAAAATCACTAACTAGTTTCTCACTACCTCATTTCTAAGTTTTAGGTAACTTTTACATAATTGTATTTTTACCCCAAAACTTTCACTATTTGCACTTTTATCCCAAAAAGTGACTTAATTCACATAATTAGATGTCTTAACTAATCAACCTCTTTTAATCTCTAATTAATTTCCAAATTCACAATTTAATGGTTCGGGTTTTTATAGTTGGATTAGATGAAGATGGAAGTGTGAGATTAAAGAAAAAGACAAGCATAAAAGAGGATTAAGAAAAAGGAGAAAGCGATTTCAGAGGAGGACACTTTTCATTCATCTAATTATTGAAACCCCCGTAACTACTTAGGATTTTCTCTCTCTTTTTCATCGTTGTTCATCTCTTTCATTCGATTAGATTTTGAGAATGAAACAAGAATTTTGCATGTGTGGAACTAGATTTGTGACAGTAAAATGATGAACTCATGCTAAGGAATGATAAGTTTCTATAAGGAAGATTAGATTACAATTGGATAGATCTCTCTTTCTCTGTTTCATTTTATTTCTTTTGTGCTTTTAATTTGTTATTACTTTGGATATGTAATTTGAAGCTTCAAAGTACTGTTCGTGTAATTTGTGAAGCAATATTATATTTCTTTTGCTTTATTAGTTTGGTTATTAAGCTTATAATGAGCTAAACATTATTTTGGATCAAGTTATGATGAATTCTAAAGTATTGTGACTTTGACGAACATTATGGGGTGTTTGATAGAGGAGAAAATTTTCTGTTACCAGGGAAATACAATTACTAGGCAAATGGTGTGAAAATGATTTTGGTAGAAAAATATAAAAAAAGTTGTTTGGAAGGTAAAAATATTACCAGGAAAATTTGGTTGAAAATACACTTTCAACAGTACACACAGTAACAATTTAGTCAACAATTTCATGCTCAAATTTTTTTTCCCCATCAAACCCAAAATACTACCATCAATATGGGTTTCTGGAACAGTGTTTTGAAAGAAATTTTGCAAACAAAATGAGATGGATGGGTAAAGCATTCTCCTATCTAAATTTTATTAAATCTCCTACCAAACACAGTGAAATAGAAAACCCACTTCAAGTTGCATGGGAAAAGAAATCAAAAGCTCCTACCAAACACCCCCTTAAGAAATTGCTACTAAGTTGATCTTGATTTGTTCAATGAGAATATGATGGAATTAATTTGGTTAATGTCTGGCCAGTGCTAACTGAAGAGTTAGGATTAGTAATTGGAGAATTATTTAATCTGAAAAATCATTGAACAATGAGGAGTGATTAATTGTAAGGTTAATTACAATCACAATTAGGAATAATTGTGAGCCATGTGATCATAATACCTCTGTTATGTAAAGATATATGAGCTAAGATAACATAAGGATATTCTACTTTAGAATCAGGTAAAGCACAATGTTAGGAGATGTAAATGCGATGTAACAGGTTTGGTTAGTTAAGTAAGTTGTCGTAGCAAGTCCTAATGTTCTCAGAAGGCATGGTGTTAAGGAGAGGAATCATATAATTTAATCCATTTTACATTCCATTAAACATTCATACTGTGTTAAACTCCGATTTAGTACTAGTTAGTGTAAACTTAAGTCTATTGTTGTAATTTTGTTAGCACTTTTAAGCAATCTATTGGTAACAAACCAATTAATCTATTTGATGGAGTTTCACTTAGCTATGCAATTGTTGGGCAATCAATAATAGAAAACATAATCTAATTTTCTCTGAGGGAACGGTGTCCTTACTTTATCTCTGTATTACTTATGATCATGTACACGTGCACGAGCATTTTTTTGTTTAAATTCACATATATACTTGAGAACCAAATAGCCACAAGTAAAAACAAATATGTAAAGTATATCTAAAACTTAAGAACAATTGAGGATTATCTCTATAAGCATTTAGTTTCCAAAATAAATAATACAACTATTGACAAGAGTGTAGCAATCATCCATCCAATTATCTTCAACGAATGTTTCAATTCATCAAGAGAAAATATTCTTCAAGGAATATGATGGCTCTTGTTAATATTAATGGATTTGACGCAAAGGCTTGGCCTGTTAATTTAGTTGATAGTAATGAAAAGCGTTATGGGCCATGGACAAGAGAATGGAATTGGACATCCAAATCCAATGTATAGAATTGGTAAAGCTATAACTTTTGAATTTTTAGTTTTATTTTTATGAGATCAGTGATGGTGGCACTAATCGTGCTGAAAGTGTTGATAAGTGTAGAAGCTGTTACCAATAGCTATCGAATTGCCTTGCGAAGTAGGGGTGTGCACATTTCATTTTGGTTCAGTTTTTGCTGAGCTGAACTGAACTAGAAAAAATTATTTAGTTAGGAGAATCGAACCAGTTTATTTTTTAAAACCAGTTCAGAACTGATTTTGAACCGATTCTTATTTAGTTATGTTTTGAACTAGGTTAAATTGATTTTGAATATCCCAAATGTGACTTATCAATTCAAGCATGTTCAATAATGAATATTTTAGTTGCCACATTCCTAACCTTTTTAAGTGTTGTCCTAAGCAATAGCTCTTTAGTTATTATATGAAACTCTCACACGAATATGTTTTGAAGGATGACTATGTGTATTTTGCTTTTATTTTTGGTACAACATTCATGTACGGATAATAGACTGCAAAATTTTAGTCCAATAAATTGGATAAGATACATTAACATGTCAAAATATCCTGGGCTTATCAATGTTACAACTTTTATAAAATTTTTGCACAACAATTGAATATGATAACTGAAACATTATGTATGATAAAAAAATGAGTAGAATAACATAAAAAATTAGTTGAATTCATTAATTGATTTTAAAAGACAAGTTCGGCTCATGAACTAATTTTTTTTTTAAAATCAATTCAATTCATAAGTTATTTTAAAAAATTAGTTCAATTCATGAATTGTCAGAAAATACAATTCTTTTAAACGAAGTGTAATTCAATTCATAGTAGAGTTCAATTCTTTTGCACACTCCTAAAACCAATTCTACACCCAGTCAATCACAAAAGAATTTTTAGCAAACAAGAAAACTATTTTACAACAATTCAAATAAAAATTAATTGCATAATTATATAGAACTTCAAAATCCTTCTCATTCTATATAATTATCTCTTTTTTATTTTTATATTTATATTTTTGCATTACTAGAACTTTTGTGATAGCATGTCAACATGAGAACCGGCCCGCAAGATAAAAGCCCAAGCTAGGGGGCGAGAGAGACCAATTGGTATTTTCATTGGTTCCCACTATATATACTCTCGTCTCCCTCGGTCTCTCGAAAACCCTAATGCCTCGTTGAATCGAAATCCCTAATTTTCTCTTTTTTATCCATTCACTGCTCTGTTTATTTTTAGGTCTGTCTTTTTTTACTTTACCTTCGCTGATGTCTGTGTGAATGTAAGTTTATGTTTCGATTAGAGGAATGCTAACTCACTGTTTCACGTTTTACGTTGTCTTTAATTTATGAATTTACCACGTTCTTCAATTTTTTTCTTTTGTTTTTTAAGTTTGTGTGTTTATTGTTGATCGCTTTTACAGTTATAGTGAATGATGATACACGCACTGGGCTCTGAGCAGTTTTAACTGCATTTTTTTGATGGAAATGCACAGCCTAGAAAGCTATATCTGACGCTCATTTTTTGTGATTTTGAGATGTCTTTGGTGGTTAAGGGGAATAATATACATATAAATAATATTTTGTGTTTTGATTCCTGGATTTTCTTTAAAAATTTTCGTTGCCTTCATCGTCCTAGCTTCATTAATTTTTGGTGATGTTTATTTCTTTCTTTCTTTTTAGAATGATTATTTATGTGCGAGATTTTGATAATGTGACAGTTAAATTGTCAAATAACCAAACAAATCTGTGAGATACTGAAATCTCAGGGAGGTTTTGTTTGATATATGATGCTCTGAGCAACGTAGTGATTTTCACACTGAGGGGTTCTATGTGTTTAAAGTTTCGTATGTTTAAAACTTCAATTAGATGTTCGGGAACCGAATTCATAAATTTTTGCTCTATGAACTCGACATAGTGAAAGTTGGAGCAAATTGTCCTCTGTTATATAATATATATTGCTGCCCAATGATGGATAAATAGACTATTGAGTGGCTTACATGGTTTTGTTAATAGCCCGACCTGCACCATCGCTCTCTCTCTCTCTTTCTCTCTCTCTATGCGTGTGTGTGTATGTGTGTTTCTCTATCTATCTCTATATATATATATATTATGATGGTGGTGCAAGAAGGCTGTAAATGAAACCAGTGACAAAAGCCGCAGATGATTTGTATTTAGCTATGAGATCTGAGGGCTCTTCGTTTTTTCTTTTTATTGTGTGGCAATGTAAGCTGTTTCACAATTTATTTTTACAACTGTTGTAGAGAATTAAATGTGGGTGTTCTTTTATTTCTCACCAAAGTGATTACATTTCTACTAGCATCAACTTAAGTGGTGGGGAAATTGTCATCATAATTTTCATTTTTCTTTACTGTGATCTCAGCTTTATGACTAGTGATTTCTTCTGTATTAAAACGAGCTTTTCAACAGGTGTGACTTTGGGAATTTGCCAATCTTTTCTGTGTGCTTAAAGATTCGAGTCTCATTTGGTGTTGTGATATTTGTATTTTGAGAATTGTTTCGAGCTGCTGCTTTATGCTGTCGCCATTTCCTTGAACTGTTTGTTGAACGCTTGATTTTACCAGATTATGCAGGATTATGGAAGACATTTTTGTTCTTGTGCAGCCTCAGCTGGCCCAGAAAATCATTGCCTAATCTCCCTTGACTCTAGAGAAAATATGGATGCCTTATGGCTTTATTGTCAAAACCGAGAAGGAGATTAGTCAATGCCATAGTATTGTGTGTTCTGCCTAGTGTTCTATGAGCAAATTTCGGTTCTTCTGAAAAAAAATTTATTAGTATTTTCCTGCTTTGTGGTACTGTTTGTGTAGGAGAGCATCGTATTTTTGTACCTAGTACTGTTCCATTACTAGTCTTTATTATTGTATTTTGATTAGTTTATTTTATGTGGTTAAATATTATGTAAATTTTTTTTATCATTTTTGGATTTTCTTATATTTTGTTTGCATTGCTTCAAAAAATCACTTTATAATAATGAAGTCTTGATAAAGATTTTAAATTATGATTATAGTAAATAATTTCAAACAAAGTGCTAAAAAAAGGCAAAATACGATTAAAGAAAAATAAATTTTATCCCTTTTTCTAAAACATCTCAAACAAGAAAAACTGTTAATTGGAAAAAAATAAACATGTTTCACAATATTAACAAGGGTTTTATTAATCTTATATTAAATGAGATAATTATCTTATGTCAGATAAATTTGTGAGTTTCACCATATGAAAAAAGAAAGAAAAACAAAAAACAAAAAAGTGACACATTTATCGAAGGGTGTGTAGGAGAGAAATTTATCACATGTAAAAGAGTAGGTTTTTTCCTATTAACAATAGTCTTGTTACCGAAAAAAAAGAAAAACAATAGTCTAAAAGATTAAGCAAGTCATTGGATGGGTTGCCTAGTTAAAGATTCCATCTTAGGATTAAATAATTATCACTTGAACAAGCAAAATCTATATGCATACTCATTTTATTTTTTATATTTTTTTTATGTCCATCTAACTTTTAAGAGGATATTGTTTTTTTATTTTAAATTATCTTATGCAATATATAAGAAAAATAAGAAATTATTTTATTCAATGTACAAAAAAAATGAGTGAGATTCACTAAAAAAAGAAAAAAAGAAATGGATTTTATCTATTATTTTTTATCTAAAGATTAGGTAGTTTTAAAGCAAAAATTATTTAATCTAATTGTCTATTTGATTTGGATTTTTTTTTTTTAAATTCTATTTGATTCGATTCAATTTTATTTATCAAAATAAAGTCATTCAAATTATAAACTACTAGGAAAATTAAAATCTTCAAACTAGGTTATAAAAAAAAATAAATCTCCAAACTAAAACAAGTTATGAAGAGTTAAAATAGATTAATTGTCAATAAAAAAAATTAAAATAAGATAATTTATTACTAATAACATTCAAGATTCCTACAAAACAACAATAACCATTTTTCAAAAATAATAAATATATAATACATTAGATCTATTTTTACCAATCAAATTTAAATGCGATCAAATCCAATTAAGATATATAATTTTTTTATTTTCTAATTTTCGATTAATTCGATTACAACACCACTTGGTAAAAACAAAACAGCGACGCATGGATCTATCTCTTGACTTGTAAACACTTGTAAACACCTTTCCTCTGACCCTCGAGTGTGCCACAACACATACCCCCTTCCCGCCACCTCCAAAACCCGAGAGAGAGAGAGAGAGAGAGAGAGAGAGAGAGAGAGAGAGAGAGAGAGATGTTGGAGGCCAAGTGTCTGAAGAAAGCAGTAGTTCCTTCCACTCTAATTGAGAATCCATCTCCGGGAAGCCTTCAAAGCACTCGCCTTGCTCTCCATGTATATGAGTGTGTGTGTCTATATATATATATATATATATATATATATATATATATATATATATATATATATATATACCCCCAACTCTCTTTTTCTCAATTATTATCTTCTTTCATGCTCAAAGATTCTAACTTTCTTTTGTTCAACTATCAGGTTAGTCAGGACCAACGTTCTTGTTTTGTCTACATAGCCTCTGGTCCTCACATTTATAAGCTCCAGGTATACTGTTTCAGTTCTTTTATTCTACGTTAACACACACACAAATGGCTCATTATGGTTTTGCCTTTTTCTTTTCTTCTTTAGTTTGTAGACATTTGTGGCTAAAAGCCCCTTATGTAGTGTGATATGTATAGGGGCATTACCTAGTTCTGATTGAAATGATAAAAGTTTCTAGTAGAAAAAATACCTTGGAAATTACCAATAGAATAAATGTTTAAAATGCATCCAAATGGGTCATTTGGTGCGGATGGTATGCTAGAGACTATGGATGAAAAATATTGTTCTAGAACAATTCTTGGTTTTTGTCAGTGATTCTGATATGAAATACAAAATATCACTTTGCTGGTTTATTTTGACCACACTTAGTTCTACAAATGATGATTTCTGTTTTACTTAACTGTAATTTATAATTATATTTACTCTCTACTCTAGATTACTCTGGGAGAATCTTCAGTCAACAAAGGAAAAGAAAGCCTCTTGATACCTGAACACACTGAGGTATATAGTCTCGTGTCTTGTAAAGCATATCTACTTGCTTGATGCTCTGCTTATATTAGCTATGTGACACATCAGAATTTCAGCTTGTGTTTATTTTTCGGTTATTTATTAGTCTATTAAGTTTGCGTATTATGGCCTCTTGTAGGTAGTTGCTTCTTCATTAGTCAACCGATGCCCTCATCGTTCAGAAATTCAGAGTATTGTTCTTGCTGAAGTGGAGAGTATGTGATTTTGCATCATGAATATTCCTTTAATATTTTGTTTTGCCACATTATAATATAATATTTCTGCCATCATAATTTGAATTGATGTAGCAGTTCAATATTTAAACTTGCTATGCTTTTCAGGCCATGGCTGCTTAATGTTGGGAAGTGTGGATTCGTATGGTCATCTTATTGTATCTAAACTGGATGCGTCTGGTAAAGGTACTTTTCTATTTTTTACCTTAATTATTCCGAATTTTGAGAAATAAGTTTATAACTTGAGTGAAAAGGAAATGTGTTTATTAGTATACATTTTCTATTTTCAGTTTTATGCATTTCTGGTGTAACTAATTTCTGTTTGTATCGTGTATTAGTGGTGCTAGCACATGTGCTATTTTTTACTATTCTGTTATGACTGTGGTGTATATAACCACTTGTACCTTTCCTCCATTTTCATTCAAGCTTAATGGAATATTCAGTATTCATTCCTCATCTTCCTTTTTCTCTGAGTAATAACAAACTAATATGGTATCAGTGATTTCTTGTTAACCCTTGCCTTTCTCCATGGCTCGTGGTAACAACACCAATCGCCCTCCACCAAACCACACCTCCACTGGTTCTTCATCTTCTATGGATGATTTATCCAGTCCTTATTATCTACAAAATGGAGACCATCCTGGCTTAATTTTGGTTTCTCATTCTTTAACCGGATCTAATTTCAGTTCTTGGCATCGTGCCATGATTCTTGCTTTAACAGCAAAGAATAAGTTAGTGTTTGTTGACGGCACCATTGTTCGTCCTCCCTCCACTGATTTCCTCTTCTCCTCTTGGAATCGATGTAACTCCATGGTGATCTCATGGATATTAAACTCGGTTGCTAAGGACATTGCTGATAGTCTTCTTTATTTTTCTACTGGCTATGAAGTTTGGACTGATTTAAAGACCCGGTACTCTCAGGCGAATGGTCCTCGAATCTTCCAACTTAAACAACGCATTTCATCTTTGTGTCAAGGATCTCTTGATGTTAATGGTTACAATTATAATGTATGAATGTATTGTATTCAATTGTATAAAACTGTACAAGAGTCCTCTATAGTCCCACATTGGTTGTATGTGCAACTAATGTGGACTTTATAAGGCTTTGCGCACTCCCACCCTTTGAGCTAGCTTTTGGGGTGGTGTATCCCAAGGTTCTTTACATGATATCAGAGCCTCGCCACCCCCCACTTTCTCTTGTGGACTTTCTTAGCACAGGTAGGCTGGGCCTGTTGCATCTTCCACTCTTCAAGCCCAATGGGCTCTCGTGTGAGGGGGCGTGTTGAGATATATAGTCCCACATTGGTTGTATGTGCAACTAATGTGGAGTTTATAAGGCTTTGGGCACTCCCATTCTTTGAGCTAGCTTTTAGGGTAGTGTATTTTCAACTTGTGTTATCTGAGATGGGATAGAATGAAAATGTTGTTGATCAAGGAAAGTGACATCAACTGAGACAATATAACGCTTGAGATCAGGAGAGTAGCAACGATACCCTTTTTGAAAACGAGTATATTCAAGGAAAATACACTTGAAGGCTTTGGATGTTAATTTATCTTTTCCTGGAGTAAGATTATGAACAAAGCAGGTACATCCAAATACATGTGGAGGTAGAGGATAGGAAGGTGCTCCTGGAAATAAAACACTAAGTGGATTTTCGTTATTGAGTACGGAAGAGGGCATGCGATTGATGAGAAAGCAAGAGGTGATTATAGCATCTGCCCAAAAACGAAGTGGAACATTCATATGAATTAGTAGGGTACGAGCAGTTTCAACCAGATGCCGATTCTTACGTTCGGCCACTCCATTTTGTTGTGGAGTGTGTGGACAAGTGGACTGGTGTAACGTCCCACGTTTCTCCAAAAAATTAGAAAACTCAAGAGACACATATTCTTTTGCATTATCACTGCGCAAAATTTGAATAGAAGCACCAAATTGAGTATTTATCTCAGCACAAATTTTTTGATAAATTGAAAATAATTCAGAACGATTTTTCATTAAATAAACCCAAGTGCAACGAGAGAAATCATCAATAAAGGTGACAAAATACTGAAAACCCAAAACAGACATTGTTCGACTCGGACCCCAAATATCAGAATGAACAATAGAAAAAGGAGCATCAGCTCTTTTATTGACTCTATTAGGAAAGGAGGAGCGAGTGTGCTTTCCTTGCTGACAAGAATGATAGTTTAAAGACTTAAGACTGGCTAAAAAGGGAACCATATGCCGAAGCTTGGAGAGGCTTGGATGACCCAAACGGCTGTGAATTAGCTCAAGAGACTCTGTGAGAGAACAAGCTACTGGAGAAGGTGGTGCAATCAGATAGTAGAGACCTCGTGACTCAATGCCCGCTCCATTCGTCTTCCCCGTACCCGAATCCTGCATAGAAAAGGATTGTTTAGAGAAGGTAACAGTACATGAAAGAGAATGAATCAACTGGCTAACAGAGATTAAATTAAAAGGAATGCCAGGTATATAATAAACAAAACGCAAAGTTAAAAGGGGAGTTGGATTGGCTTCCCCAATTCCACGAGCAAGAGCCTTAGTGCCATCAGCAAGAGTGACAAATTGTAGGTTATTAGAATAAGTAAGTGAAGTGAAGAGATCTTTATTACCACAAAGATGATGAGTAGCACTTGAGTCTATTATCCAGGGTCCAAGAGATGATTGATAAAAACAAGCAACATGATTACCAGTGTCTTGAGTAGGATGCTGAGAAGAAACTTTCTTGAGAAGTGCCTCATAGTCGGCACTTGAAAGAGTTACTAATCCAGTAGAAGGTGGTGCAGCATCAGTTTGAACAAAGTTGGCAGTCGGTGGCTTCAAATGAGGGTACTTCCTATAACAGCGTTCTTCAAAATGCCCAAGATTCTGGCAATAATTGCAACGAGGCCTCTGTCGGCGGCCATGTCTGCGACCGCGTCCACTGTTCCAATTGGAATCACTGGCTCGAGAAAAGAATGGAGATGGGGAGTACTGGAGATGATGCCAATCGTGTTTTTGGAAGCATTACTTGAGCCCTCCATCACAAAATAAAATAAAGGAGATGACCAGATCTGAAAATAAGAGAGGAAGACGAGCTGTTCTGTCTCGGAATGGTCGAAAGGTTTTTTTTTTTTTTTTGCGTGAACAGTAACTGTACGGACGCGTGAACAGTGAAACCGTACGGACGGTAAACTGTGAATCTGTACAACCCGTTCTACCAAGGGTATATCACTCTGTCAACGGCATTATGCATTGGAGATCCTTAAGGATTCTGGTTTATCAGGTTGCAAACCGAGAAGCACTCCCTTTGATGTTGGCATCAAGCTTTCTGCCTCTGAGGGAGACCTTCTCCCTGACCCTTCTCTCTACCGTAGATTGATTGGTCGTTTATTATATTTGACTATCACCCGACTTGAGATCAGCTATACAGTAAATTTTCTCAGTCAATTTATGGCTTCTCCACGGGTCCCACATGTTCAGGTTGCTCACAGGTTACTCGGTTTTGTTAAACAAACTGTTGGTCAGGGCATTTTTTTTTCCTCTTCTACTATTCAACTTAATGCCTTCTGCGATTCTGATTGGGCTGCCTGCATTGATAGCCGACGCTCTATTTCTGGTTTCTGTGTCTTCATTGGATACTCCATCATTTCTTGGAAATCCAAGAAACAAAATACTGTGTCAAGGTCATCCACTGAGGCTGAGTACAGGTCCATGGCTCTTACAACTTGTGAATTATTGTGGTTGCTGTCTTTATTGAAAGATTTTAAGATTTTACACTATGGTCCTGCACATATTTTTTGTGATAATCGGTCTGCCCTTAACATTGCTACGAATCCGGTGTTTCATGAACGGACAAAGCATATAGAGATAGACTGTCATCTTGTGCGTGAACACATCCTCAAAGGTCACTTGAAGACGTTCCCTGTTCCTTTTTCCAAGCAGCTTGCAGACATCCTTACCAAGCCTCTCCTTCCTTCAAAGTTTGCTGTTTTGGCTTCCAAGATGGGAATCTTGAACATCCACTCTCCATCTTGAGGGGGCCTATTAGTATACATTTTCTATTTTCAGTTTTATGCATTTCTGGTGTAACTAATTTCTGTTTATATTTCTGTTTGTATCGTGTATTAGTGGTGCTAGCACATGTGCTATTTTTTACTATTCTGTTATGACTCTGGTGTATATAACCACTTGTACCTTTCCTCCATTTTCATTCAAGCTTAATGGAATATTCAGTGTTCATTCCTCATCTTCCTTTTTCTCTGAGTAATAACAAACTAATAGTGTTGACCTTCAATTATAAGTTTTTTTTTTTAAGAGCAAAACATATATTCATCCTCAATTTATAGATAATTTTCTGTTTCCCCACTTTTTTATGAAGTTATATTTCTGTGTTGCCTGTTCAAAAATAAGGAAAAGTATGTTTTTCTTTTGACTATAATATTTGGTTGTTCGCTAGTGGCGACTGGTAATTTTTTAGGGTTATAATTCATGCCTGAAAATCTTACCAAATAACTGTATGGATAAATAGACATTTGTTTGCTTGATAGGAGGTCTACTAGGTTTGTTGTCTATGAATAGGACATACCTACTATCTGTAAATCATTCTATAGGGATGAAAGCTTGATTTGTTCTGAGTCATTGGGTATCACGAGATTAGATCTGTAAGTAGACTTATTTAAACTTTGTGAATTTTGTCATTACCTCACTTTCTCTGTTTTCAAGAGGCTAGTACCTGAACATGAATTTGCATTAGTCGCTGTAGTTTTACCATGGTTCTCTTTTGGTAGGCTATTGCTGCAATGCAGTTGGTGATTTGTGCCTCCTTAAGTGATCATGTGTCTTATGTTAGGATGCTAATTTTTTTTTTTTTAAATATAGGAACTAATTAATTTAACTCTCATTTTACTGCCTTCAATTTCATCCCTTTAGCAAACTATTGCTTGAACTTTTAACTTTTGAAAGTTGAATACTTGAACTTTGAGAAATATCCTAATGCTTGTTAAAAGGTTCTTCAAAACACTTTCACCTCCAGTAATGCTTTGATTGAACTCTGGTTCATAACACATCTTGTTCATGGGTTTTCTAATTAGATTTACTTGATTGATTCCTTTTACCATGTTAAGAGTGAAAAGCACAAAAATGTCCTGTTAAAAATATAATTGAGTAGTAAACAGGAACTGCAGTTTTGGTATTCATTTCTTCACTGGGTTTTTTAAGAAGTAGTTCTATGCAGCCAGAAAAAATATTTACAATATTTAGCCAGAAGCTTCGATGTACCCTGGTGTCTTTGAGCTATGGTAGCAACTTAATGCCAAATATTTGGCCCCATACCTCATCTAATTCTTTGGTAAGAACCTGAAGAAACTCAAATACCCTTTTCTTTTCTAGCATTTGGTCATATAATACTTTATCTTCTAAGAATTTTAATGAAACAATATAGAATAGGTCCATATCTTTTCATGATTTGACCAGCATATTAAAGTACTCAGTGATAGACTTTTTACCTTGTCGAGTATTGCACAGGGGTGGTGTGATTTCGAGGGATTGCACTGAATTATGGGTATCTGAGTACATCTCAAATAATTGTCCGAATTTCATGGGTAGTCTTGCAAGAAAGGTAGGTTCTGCTGACTATGTGAGATAAATTTCCATGGACTAAAATGAGAAGCTTGGGTTGCCAGATTAGCATCCCTCCTATTTTGGTGTAAGCGATACTTACTCGGGATAACCTGGTGAGTGACCGAATGAGTTTCAAAAGGAAATTTCCATAGCCATTTACCACCAAAGCAATGTTATTAGAAAGCAATTTGCTAAGACCCACACCCCCTTCCTTCTTTAGGGCAACAGCACACCTCCCAACTCACCAAGTGGTCATGTCTCATATTCGTAGCACCATAACAAACCTATTTTCTCAAATTCTGCCCTGTTTAGCATTTTTCTTCTACTTTAAACTGACTTAGTTTAGTTGGGTGTATTTACACAAATCTGCAGATGTTGACAGGCTTACATATTCAGTATTGCCTAATGATAATGGTATTGGGGAAGGAAGTTGGTCAGGACTCTGCTTTAGCCCAACACAGTGGTCTATGGTGAGTTTTTTTTGTATGCTTCCATCTAAAAAATGGTTTTCATCTCCAAAAGGAATAAATGTTACAAAAAGGGAAAACTTTTACCGTTAGTAAAGTGTATAGATGCCAGGATTAATTTTTAGCTTTACTGTGATTTTAAATTGTAAAGAACCAATTCAACCCAAAAGCTTAAGCTGTTGGGTGAGGCTACATTAATGGTTTTATATATCTCAACACGCCCCCTCACACGAGAGCCCACTGGGCTTGAAGGATGGATAATGCACAGGCCCACCTAACTGTGCTAAGAAAATTCCACAAGAGAAAGTGGGGGGCGGTGAGGATTGAACCCAGGACACAAGGCTCTGATAACATGTAAAGAACCAATTCAACCCAAAAGCTTAAGCTGTTGGGTGAGGCTACATTAATGGTTTTATATATCTCAACATGCCCCCTCACACGAGAGTTCACTGGGCTTGAAGGGTGGATAATGCACAGGCCCACCTACCTGTGCTAAGAAAATTCCACAAGAGAAAGTGGGGGGCGGTGAGGATTGAACTCGGGACACAAGGCTCTGATACCATGTAAAGAACCAATTCAACCCAAAAGCTTAAGCTGTTGAGTGAGGCTACATTAATGATTTTATATATCTCAACATAAATAATTAACTCTTGATGTTATTAAACAAGCATAACGTAAATCCTATTTTTTAATTTTTGGTACTATCGTCATAAGAAAAACAATAAAAGAGGAGTAGAGGCTTTGGCAGTGATCAGAACTTCAGCTTGACAAGCTTGCACAAGAAAATAGAGGGTTGGTTGGTGTTTTCAACTTAAGGGACTTCATTGTCTGGTCAAAAGAATAAGAAAAACTGAAAGAAACTGCTTGCCTTCCTCTTAGTTCTGATCTGTGTCTATTTCGTACCTATATATGGGTTTCTCTAATTGTATTGAGTGGTTCCTTTATCCAGGCAGCTGTTGCCCGTAGCCTTTGCAAAACCATTGATATTTATGACCAGGACATCCACATTCGCACATTACGACCGTAAGTGAATCTTTTTCTGTTTTTAAGTTAAATTTTGTGGAAGTAAATATATGTATCTACCTCTGTGTACTTCTCCATCATTCATTCTTATTTTAATTCCTTCCATTTGATTGTTGTACTATTGCTGTCATGCACCACTAAAACATTTGACATATGATAGACCTGAGAAGAGACCTGAAAAGATTTTGGAAAGGTTTCTGTGAATTGCTTGAGTTGGAGTACTCACCATATTATTTCTAGTGCTCCACTATACATTTAATGATATCGATTTTCTATGTTACAATTTCCTATGCTACAACTGGTTCAACTTCCCACAGTTACCATAGTTTAATCATTATATTAGGAAAGTAATTGTTTAGCTAGGAAATAATGTTCATTATTTTTCCATTCAACTCTTTGTAAGCAATTCTCGTAGTTAATTTGTCTTCCTGCAGACTCTGGTATCCTACTTCATTAAACTTCATGCAAAATGTAAATGGGAATCAAAGTTCTACGTTAGCTATTACTGAAGGAAGCCAGGTATATTTGTTAGATTTACACTTTCTTCAATGTTTTAAATTATAAAGCATGAACAAACCATTTTGGTGTTGTGTCTACTACCTGTGGGACACCTTTCCAACACAACACACTGGTGACACATGTCTGTACGTGTTTAGTTTAAAATTTATTCTTTGGCTATGACACGAAAGGACATGGCATGACATGACCATTTAAAATTTGAAAGAAAAAAAAAAAACACTGGGATCGGGTCTGTTTTAAACTTTTAAGCAATTTTTAATAATAAAGAGGAAAGTATAATGGAGCTGTGTAATGAGAACAAAGCGAACTATTCCTTCGCCTTTTACTAAAAAAAAAAGAAGAGGAAAATAAGGCAGGGCTGCTTTTGTCACGTACTAATTTCATTGTCCTACAATTTTTAGAATTTGGTGTGTTCCCGAGTCTGTACCTGTATTTTTGCCTTGTCACATGTCCATGTTTACACTTCATACATAGCATACAAGTTATAATGAGTTCTGCCTTATACTTTTTTGTTTGTATATATTTTTGTGATTCATCTGTTAACATAATTGCAGCTGACTATATGGGACTTGAGAATGAAAGAAAATGGTGGTTGTGTACATCGGATTTCTGGCATCCCTGGCAATATGTTATATGCTGTTTGCAGTTCTTCCAATGGTAATGTTGCTGTGGGTGGAGCTGATCGTACTGTGACTATTTATGATCCTCGCAGGTTAGCTTCCATCTTGATTTCAGGATAAAACAATTAGAAAATTGGTTCAGCAATCAGGACTTGTCCTTATAGTCTGTTAATCTGTGTCAGTAATATTTAACCAATGTAAATATTATGTAGAAGCCATGAGTACTGTTCCTTTATTTTCTTAATTTTTATCATTTTAATTTTACATTTCCCTGATTAATCTTGGCCTATAAATTACATCTTGTTATAGATGGACAGCAATGTGTAGATGGGTCCACTGTTCAAAATTTGAGGTCAGTTTAATGCACTCTGCCTTTATCTTTATCAACAATTTTGATTACGGCTTTTGTAGAGTGTTACTTAAAAGAAATTGTAATATCTTAGACGTTATTTTGCACTTTATTTTATTTTATTTTTTTATTTTTTTAATGTATATGTGTAAAACACACGTAAGGCAAGGGTACCTTATCGTAGAAGTGATATAGGACTGGAGTTTCAAATATCATTCCCCTTTAGACTAATTAGCAATTATGTTATTTAGACAATTGAGTTGAGATAATTGTGCAATTAAATTTGAAGTAACTGAGGATGAATATGCAAAGATTTATGTGCAATGAAAAGGAGAATTATGAAACGGAAGTGCCTAGGACTAGGGATTCACTTGTATTCTGTTGAGAGTGATGTAAATAGAATAGTTTAATGAGGGATGAAGTCCCACATTATATATTATTCATGTGTAATTCTCTGTGTTCAGTTATATATTAGTGCCTCCGTAGTGTATTTACATCACGTGGATTACATAACGCGTCTTTCATTTCTTTCTCATTTAACATATTCAATTATATAATTCCCAGTTTCTCTATAATTTAGCGATTAAATTTCATTAGCCAGTTACCTTTGCTAATTCTATTAAGCAAACAATGGTCATGAGTTTATTAATAGTTTATTTCATACTAATGAGATCCCCTATTTGGTCATTTAAGAAAAACATTAAGATCAAAAAGGCTAATTCACCTTAATTAGTTAACTCATTTGATGGAAAAGAATCAAAGTTTGATCCCGGTTTGTCGTTTGTCTTATGGATCTGCTAATAAATTGTGGGTGGTCACCAGTTAATCAATCAACTAACACACCCTAAGGGTAATGAATTCTTAACATGTAATTGGCATTAGAAAACAAACCCAATTGATTATATTGAAATTGGGAATATCAACAATCAAATTACAAGATCTACCATACAACATCTAGCTATGGGGTTTAGCTATCCATACAAGAATTAAAAAAAAAAAATCATAATCACACTGATAAAGATAAAAAATGAAGAGTAAGAGAAATAAGACCCCTTCTACAAGTGGGAGGAAACCCCACTCTTCAAGAGTTCTTTTTTCTCTCCAAAGCAATTAGAAACCTTGGCCTCTACATCTTTGATCTTCTCCATTGCATTTCTTCTAATTTATAGAAAAATTGGGGGAACTATTGTGTGTATTTTATTCAAAGTTTTTTCGGGCCATTCTTGAATGTTTACCACCTTCCACTGCTTACTTTTAACTCATCTACCTCCTTCCACCACATATTCCACCTGAACTTGACTCTTTACCATCATCCACCATGTAAGATACCTGATTTTGAGTACGTGGTCTTCATCAGAATTGTAGGCCTGGATTCAACTTGTATTAGCCACTAGTTTCAGGTCCATTGCATACCATTAACTCCAGATTTGTCTTCCAGCATCAAGAAAATTTCATGGCTTTGTTTTCCTACTGATTTTTTTTTTTTTTTGGTACAATTTCCTACTGATTTTAAATTCTGAAGATAATGGATTTAGGTCTTAAGCTCTTCACGAAAGTTGAAGATTTTTCTCTTGGCTTTCCTACTTTAAGATCACATCAAAAGGACATTTTAGCTCATATTAAATGCATAGACAATTTAGGAAATTCTGAATTTTGCTAAGTTAAACAATAAATTCCAACATGACCCAGTGACTCAATTTTCCAAATTGGGATTAATATCTGATACGGACCATATAGCCGAAATAGGGCCCAAGCCCAAGCATGGTCTTAGTTGTTGAATCAGATAGATGAGAGTTTGTTAGGAGGGGAAGGATCTGGAAGGGATGTGCAACAAAAAATGGTTAAGGAGGAAGAGGCGGGGAAGTTAGTGGAATAAAAAGGGAAGGCATGGGAAGTAGGAGGATCATCTTGGATCTGAAATGAGGCTGGAACTTGGGAGAGACTAGGGCCTCTCGCAATGCTCTAGACTATCTTTGTTATTTCTTATTTCCATTACTGTAACTGTCCTATCCATTGTTGTCACTGCAATTAGGATTACTTGTTCTTTTTACTGTAATCGTTGTTGAATAATGTACTGTTTCCAAATTAATATACTGTCTTCGAATTGTTTCTGTAATTCTACTGTTGTTCCTATCAATTGGTATCAGAGCACTCCAATCTAGAAGGGCTTTGAGCCACACCAATCAAAAAAGAAGAAGAAGAAGAAGAGATGGAAAACAAAGCTGAAGGATTGGAAGAGAAACTTTGGCGCAGCGAGCAATGTCAGGAAAAGCTTGTACGTCGGATGGACGCCAGTGATGCTAAGCAAGCCGAAATCATCCGTGAATTAAGGGAGCTTGAGGCTGCAATTAATCAGATCCGATATGAAGAGTTTCGAAATGATCGAAATCACAGGGACAGAGGCCAGAGGGGGAATGATTCAGAGGGTTTTCATGGAAGTCTCAAAGGAGTTAATTACGGTGATTCGAGGAGAAGAGAAAATGCTTATGGACCTTTTTATTCACTGAAACAAACAAGGACTGTTGCAGAATTTCGTAGTAGATTTGAGGCGGTGGTTGGAACCATGAGATTTTTGGAAGAAGTATTGAAAGAAGCATGGCTCAATGGCTTAAAGGATAACATCCATGAAGAACTTTTGATGTACTCGACGTTGAGCTTATCGAACATGATGAAGTTGTCAATGGAGATTGAACAGAGGAATTTGGCTTTGGTAGATGAAGGTTTAGGGACTACGTCGTGCAGTGGCAAGGTGAATCCGGTTCGCAGGAATGGATTGGGCCAAGTAAAGTCAAGGCCCAATGTGACTGGGTCAAACCAATCAGTTTCTAAAATGGCCCAAACCTCTAATATGCACCCAACCAACCGTAATTCCTAAATACCAGACGCGACCAAAGGTGCAGCTTCGCTGAGAGGGTACTCAAGCCAATCGATTGCATGGGCGGACCAACGGTTGTCGGAGAGTCAAGGGAGCAAGGGTCGCCGGCTCATCCATGCGGAGCTTCAGGAGCGACAAAGGTAAGGGGTTATGCTTCCCATTCGTTGAGAAGTGGAACCTTACGCATCGCTGCCATGCAAAGCAATTGCATCTCCCGTTGGTGGAAGACGACGAGTTGGAGGAGGACAGTACTAAGGAGGTTAGCGCAGAAAATCCACCTATCCAAGAGAAGTTACTGGGAAATTTCATGATGGAAAAGCTAGAAATCATGGAAGGGAAGAAGCAAATGGAGTCTGGAATTTTCAAAGAATCAAGAGAATAAGTGTGAGGGTGATGAAGAGACGAAGGATGAATTATATTTTTTGGGTCTTGCTGTGAATGAGCAGAAGAAAAAGGAGATCACAATTAGAGCAGAAGGAGAAGAGCACATGATGGTGATGGAGCTCTGGATTTCAACGAGGCCAACCGAACCTCCACCACTAAAGTAGGACGTTGGTACGACGGTTGAGACAATGACCCCTACGAAGGCAGAAAAGGGTGCTACGTCACAACCGCTAGCGAGAGGCATTGAAGAGAAGTATAGGTTAGTTATGCAATTACATAATTTGGGTCAAAATGTTGTCCAAATATGTTGGGACTCAATTATTATATTTGGCTGCCAAACCCAACCCAACAAAACCTTTACTTGTGTTGGGTGTGAATGGGTTAACATGTCAATAGAATTGATGAGCAGAATATTTGGCATTATTTGTGCAGATTTGTAATTATATCCTTAATTAATTAGCCAGCTGTAGGTTATGATTTGTAATTATATCCTTAATTAATTAGCCAGCTGTAGGTTATGATTGTGTAATTATATCCTTAATTAATTAGCTAGCTGTAGGTTATGATTGTATAGTTATGATTGTGTAATTATATCATACTATTTAAATGAGAATTCTCCAAAGGAGAACATAAGGTTTTATCCCAATTTCTCTAAGTTTAACATGGTATCAGTCTAGGTTTCGTTACTAAATTTTTCGCTGTGCTCACAGTCTCTGAGTTCCCAAGTTCTAGTCTTTTGTGCGTACTGTTCACGTCGCGATTCTTGTTTTTTTTTCCTCTCGCGATTTTTCTCAGCATCATGTCTACTGAAAAATATGATGTTCTTTTTGTTCGTCTTAATGGAAAGAACTACTCCACCTGGGCATTTCAGTTCCAGATCATTGTCAAAGGCAAGGAGCTTTGGGGTCATGTTGATGGAACTAATTCTGCTCTTGACAAAACTACGCACCAAGCGGCACATGCCCAATGGGAGGCCAAAGATGCACAGGTAATGACTTGGATCATAGGCTCTGTTGAGCCTAGTATTGTCCTCAATCTCAGACCCTTCACAACGGCAGCAAAGATGTGGGACTATTTGAAGAAAATTTATAACCAAACAAACACTGCTCGCAGGTTCTAGCTTGAACATGAAATTTCTCTTTTTCAACAGAATAGTCTCTCAATTTCTGAATTCTATTCTCATTTCATGAATCTTTGGGCTGAATATACTGACATTGTCTATAAAGATTTGTCGACTGAAGGACAAACTGCAGTCCAAAATGTTCATGACACCACAAAACGAGATCAATTTCTTATGAAATTGAGATCTACTTTTGAGGGCATTCACACCAACCTAATGAACAGGGCTCCTGTTCCCTCCTTGGATGAATGTCTAAATGAATTGCTTCGTGAAGAACAACGTCTCCTTACTCAGACAAACATGGAATACCAGAAATCTGCCTCCCTTCCTGTAGCGTATGCAGTACAAGCCAAACCACGAGGTCGAGACATGAGTACTGTCCAATGTTTCTGCTGCAAAGGCCATGGACATTTTGCTTCAAACTGTCCTAAAAAGTTCGGTAATTACTGCAAGAAAGAAGGTCACATCATCAAAGAATGTCAAATCAGACCACCACGGAGAAATGCAACAGCCTTCACTGCCACTGTTGGCTCTTCCACTACTCCTGTTTCTGTGGATCAGAATCCGCCTGTTTCTGTGCCAACTTTAACCCCTGAAATGGTTCAACAAATGATTGTTTCTGCATTTTCTGCTTTGGGTCTTTCAGGTAAAGTTTCTTTATCCAGCTCTCCTTGGTACTTTGACTCTGGCGCATCCAATCATATGACCAACAATGTTGCTTCTCTTACCAATGTTACAAATTACTCTGGTAATTTACAAATACACACTGCGGATTGAAACAATTTACCTATCACAGCAATTGATGATATTTCTTCATCTCTTACCAATGTTTATGTTTCCCCTGATCTCACCAGTAACCTTATTTCAGTTGGTCAATTAGTTGACAGTGATTGCAAAGTTGAATTCTCAAAGTCTGGTTGTTATGTGCAGGATCAACACTCAGGGAAGGTGATCGTGAAGGGGCCTAAAGTTGGACGTCTTTTTCCTCTTTATTCATTGTTGTCACCATGTTCTTTTCAGCCTTTTATTTCTTGTAATTCTGCAACTGTTAATTTTCAATTATGGCATAAGCGTCTTGGTCACCCAAATTCGAATGTACTTCACGCCTTAATGAAATCTGGAGTTCTTGGCAATAAACATTTCCCATCTTTTAGTGCTGTTCAATTTGATTGCAATTCTTGTAAACTTGGTAAAAGTAAAATTCTACCATTTCCAGTTCATCAATCAAATGTAAATCAGCCTTTTGACATAATTCGCAGTGATTTATGGGGCATCACACCTGTAATATCTCATGCACATTACAAATATTTTATCACTTTTATTGATGACTATAGTCGTTTCACATGGGTCTATTTTTTGCGATCTAAAGCTGAAGCTTTCTCTGCATTCCAATTTTTTCATTCCTATGTTCAAACTCAGTTTGCATCAAAAATTAAAACTCTGCGTTCTGACAAAGGGGGAGAATACACATCTCATTTGTTTCAAGAGTTCTTGCAGAAAAATGGTATATTATCTCAAAGGTCGTGTCCTTCCACACCCCAACAAAATGGGATAGCTGAAAGAAAAAACCGTCATCTTCTTGATGTTGTCCGTACCTTAATGTTGGACTCTTTAGTACCCTCCCGTTTTTGGTGTGAAGCTCTCTCAACTGCTGTCCACCTTATTAATCGGCTGCCTTCTCCAGTCTTGCACAATGATTCCCCTTTCTTAAGGTTATTTGGTAAGCAACCCAATTATTCAACTCTTCGCACCTTTGGTTGTGTCTGTTATGTTCATCTTCAGCCACCAGAACGCACCAAACTCACAGCTCAATCTGTTAAATGTGCTTTTCTTGGTTACTCAGCCCATCAAAAAGGTTTTCTTATGCTATGATCCTCACTTACATAGCATTCGGGTTTCTAGAAATGTCATCTTTCAAGAAGATACATATTTTTTTGCTACTAAGGATCTAATTCAGCTAGCTGGTCTCACCACTGCAACTATGGTTGACACTCCCATGGAAGTTAATGTAAAGTTAAGACGGGATGAAGGTGACCTTCTACAAGACCCAACTTTATATCGAAAGTTGGTAGGAAGTCTCATCTACCTCACCATCACAAGACCTGATATCTCTTTTGCTGTCCACACAGTCAACAAATTCATGCAAAATCCTAGACACTTGCATCTTACAGCAGTACAACGAATCATTAAATATTTGTTGGCCACTCCCAGCCGTGGTATCTTCTTTCCGACAAATGCAACAATACAACTTCAAACATACAGCGATGCTGATTGGGCTGGATGTCCCGACACAAGGAAGTCTACTACTGGCTGGTGTATGTTTTTAGGAGATGCCCCTATCTCCTGGAAATGCAAGAAACAAGAATCTGTCTCTAAATCCTCCACTGAAGCAGAATATCGGTCCATGTCTGCAGCATGCTCTAAGATTATTTGGTTACGGGGCCTTCTTTCAGAACTTGGTTATTCACAAGCAACACCAACTCCGTTGTATGCTGATAATACAAGTGCCATACAGATTGCAGCAAATCGTGTATACCATGAAAGAACAAAGCACAAAGAGGTCGATTGTCATTCAATCAGGGAAGCTTATGACCGTAGAATTATCACTCTACCTCATGTCTCAACATCTGTTCAACTAGCTGACATCCTCACCAAGTCTTTGACACGTCAACGACATAATTTCCTCGTCAGCAAATTGATGCTTGTAGATTCACCAGCATCAATTTGAGGGGGGATGTCAATAGAATTGGTGAGCAGAATATTTGGCATTATTTGTGCAGATTTGTAATTATATCCTTAATTAATTAGCCAGCTGTAGGTTATGATTTGTAATTATATCCTTAATTAATTAGCTAGCTGTAGGTTATGATTGTGTAATTATATCCTTAATTAATTAGCTAGCTGTAGGTTATGATTGTATAGTTATGATTGTGTAATTATATCATACTATTTAAATGAGAATTCTCCAAAGGAGAACATAAGGTTTTATCCCAATTTCTCTAAGTTTAACATAACAATGGCTCTAGTGCAAAATGTGTTGAACAGATGGTTTGGTTATTTGAAGGAGCCTACGCAAATAAAGGCCTAACTAACGAAGACAGTGCATCATTCTTTGAATATGATGATGTTAGCTTGTTAGAAATTTATTCTTGTGCTCTTGGAGTTTCTGCAAGTTATCTCATGAAGCCATCTTTTCGCATTGAAAATGAGCCATGGGATCCCGGTGGAAGTCGCCAAGCTTGGTGCGTACATAGGGCCATGCAATTCAAACAGTGGGATCCAGGAGGAGGGTTTTTATGGACTAACCTGCACCTTGAGGACAACGTGCTTAAAAAAAGGAGGAGTATTGATACGGACCCATATAGCCGAAATAGGGCCTAAGTCCAAGCATGGTCTTAGTTGTTGAATCAGATAGATGAGAGTTTGTTAGGAGAGGAAGGATCTGGAAGGGATGTGCAACAAAAAATGGTTAAGGAGGAAGAGGCGGGGAAGTTAGTGGAATAAAAAGGGAAGGCATGGGAAGTAGGAGGATCATCTTGGATCTGAAATGAGGCTGGAACTTGGGAGAGACTAGGGCCTCTTGAAATGCTCTAGACTATCTTTGTTATTTCCTATTTCCATTACTGTAACTGTCCTTCCATTGTTGTCACCGTAATTAGGATTACTTGTTTTCTTTACTGTAATCGTTGCTGAACAATGTTCTGTTTCCAAATTAATATACCGTCTTCAAATTGGTTTCTGTAATACTAGTGTTGTTCCTATCACAATTAAGCACAAAAGAGACTCAAGTAGATTTAGTATAAGGCTATTTAGTATATAGAAATTGGTCTCATCAATGTATATGCAGCTATTTGGTGTACTAAACTAATCTGATTCTTTGTTTTGGGTATTTATTTATTTTTCCAATATAAATTTCCCTCTTAATTTTTAGATATTACAAGTTCAAGTCAGATAAAAATATGGAATGATTCACCTTCGAATTCATTCATTCTTTTGTGTGTTGGAAACGTATTATTATGATGTACTTTGTGTCTAGGTTCATCACTTCATTGTATATAGTGGTCATCCAAACCATGTAATTATTGTAGTTAGGATCCATGCCTTTATTACCTTATTACTATATATTCAGTTTCCTGTGTGTAGTTGAAACACATGGTTTACACCAAAGTATGCTTCTCTTTTCTCTAATTGAACAATGTGCATTCATAATTGTTTTATGACATACAGTAGCTGATTTCTAGGTAACATTGATTAAAATAGTTGATGTTATCGAAGGAAAATTTCTAGTTCATCAACATTTCTTATTCCTCACAACATTTGAGTTCAACATTTTCTTCAATCTACTAGAAAATAAAAGAAAATACTTTTCATTAAATCTAAGCTTCTATAAATACCCTTAATCTAGTTTGCAAATGAGGAGTATGAAAGATATTTTTCCAGTCAATGCAGATTCAGGCTCGTTGAAGTTAATAATCTCTTATGCCCCGGCATTTTCAGAAGAGGGGGTTAAAATTAATTTTTTAGATCATTAATAAAACATTTAGGGAATGTGAGTATTCGTATTGAATGACGGAGGGCTTGTCAAAGCAAAATGTTTCAGTTGAGTGGGCTCTAAGTTAGTTAATGGCTTTAAATTTATCCTCACTGTTCTTAAGCTGATTTCCTGTGTTATTCATCTGGGAAAACATTTTCAATTTTTTACGTGTTTGCTTAGTATACCATTGCTGCTAAAGATGACTGTAATTGACTATGCTTTTCATTTGTACTGCAGATAACAGGGTTGGCTTTCTCCGCAGTTGATCCTGATTATATCTATATTCAAGGGGTTGATCATGAGGTAACTTCTTCTCATCTCAAATAATTTTTTTTGATGGTACCTAGTTGAAGTAGCAGAACAATTCACTATTTCTATTAATCCAAAAACATAATGAAGACCAGCTCCTTACAAACACAAATATCAACTGAGAAGTGCTGAAACAATTACACACTATAGATGTTGGGCAAGTGGCCTCAAAACTCAAGAGGGGGGTGAATTGAGTTTTAAAAATATTTTTCACAAAATGCTTCACTTTCCTTTTTAAAAACAAATTTCTTGAGATTCTAAGATTTAAGACAAGTAAAGTGTGATGAATAGAAACTAAGACAAGTAAATAGTAAGCAATAAATATAAATCTGAATATGTTCAAGTATGCGAACAATGCTTATGTAAAGAGATAAGGGTTAGAGAGATTGCAAACAAGATGTATCCTGGTTCAGTCACCACCACCGTGACTTAAGTCCAGACTGAATTCGCTCGATCAATCTTTCACAATTCCTCAAGCTTCACCGGTGCTTGATAAACCGCTACAACCTCCAAGATTTTGGTTCTTGGAAATCTTACACTTCCACTGAATTTCTAAGTCTATGAGCAACATTTCCAACAAGAGTCTCACTAATCTTAATCAACAATTTTTCAATAAGGGAATGTGTTTAAGAATTGATAGACACTCTCAAAGTGCAGATTTTACAACTTGAAGAGCATAACTTGCCTCTCCTATATGAGTAGGAGTAGTTTATTTCTTTCACAACTGATTATTTCTCTTGTATTAGTGGTTACAGTATGTTTGTTTGTTCAGCCTTAGCTGGTTCTGTTAGTTAGTTTTGCTAACTCATCATTGAGTCAGCCTCAACTCTATATATAGAGCTCGTTCTCTCACTCAGTGTAATAATATCTTTAGTCTAAAACTCTTAATAATAGAGATGTATTTCCAGATCTCTCTCTCTCTCTCTCAGTTTTCTCTTTCACTTTTTTTCATTTTCTCGCATTTTCCTTCAATGTTGGAGAGTTAAATTTCATTGCCTTCATGACATTAAATTTCATCTCCTCTCCATTAACATTCATGGAGATTTCTCCTTTTCTGACATTTATCACTACATCACCAATAGCTAGGAATGGTCTACCAAGAATTATGGGAACTTCTTAGTCAGCTTCAAAATCCAAGATAATGAAGTCAACTGGCAAGATGAATTTGTCCACTTGAACGAGGACATTTTCTATCTTGCCTTCCAGTCTGGCTATGGATCGATCTGCAAGCTGCAAAGTGACAGTGGTGGGCCTTACCGCTCCAATATCAAGCTGCTTGAAGATTGAGGCTGACATCAAATTCACACTCGAGCCGAAGTCACTTAGTGGCCTGCCTAGATAATTCTTCCTAATGGTGCACGACTCTTTAGTGAGAGCCACGATTTCAAATTCCTCAATTTTTCTCTTCTTTGACAGCATGTCCTTCATAAATTTTGCGTATGAAGGCATTTGCTCCAGGGCTTCAACCAATGGTACATTTATGTGAAGCTGTTTCAGTAAGTCCAAAAACTTGCCGAATTGCTTATCTTCATGTTGTTTCTTTAACCTCTGTGGGAAAGGAGGTTCAATTGGTTTGCTCCTCCTTTTACATTGTGGAACATAAGATGGTACAACTTTTGGTTCATCAACATCTTGTGTCTTTGACGCATCTTTAGGAGTAAATGCAACAGATATTGCTCCTTCATTCTCACTCTTCTGAGATTCAACTTTTTGTTGTGACGGTGAATCTATTGGTTCTGTCCAATCTTCTTCCTTGTGGTTCTTATCAAGAGCCTCATTAGCTTCGGTGGTTGGAGGTACTTGCTCCTCCTGATCTTCAGCTTCATGTCTTTCCTCAGGTTGCTTTTCTGGCTTGCGTTTCAGGGAACGAACCAAAGGCTCAGGTGGTAGAAGGATCTTTCCATCTCGCAAGTTTATGGCATTGCACTGCTCCGTAGTGTCCTGGAAAGATTTTCCTGTATCACTGGAGAGTGCTCCTTGTGGTCTTTGACTAAGAACATTGGCCAGTTGGCCAACCTATCTTGATGTTTCTCATAGCAACATTATTTTGATTCATGTACTCTTTGAACATGGTCTCTAGGGACTGAAATCTACCTTCATCTTTATCCCAGTTTTGATTATTTTGTCGTGGGAATGGGGCTCTATTTTGATAGTTCCCTCCATTGCTTCCAGCATTGTTCAGATTCTTCCAACTTTGGTTGTTATGCCCCGATACTGGTTGTTGTTGTCATAACCACCTGCATAACATACAGTAGTTAAATCATTACCACATTCACCATGTGGTCCACTACAAATAGAACAATTTTGATTGGATTGGGTTAAATAAAGCTGTTCAGGTGAGTTGGATGGTTTAGATTGTTCCATGGGTTTCCAGTTTTTTATGGTATTGGTGAGCGTTGCCAACTGCGCAGAGAGGGCATTAGTTGTGTCCAACTCCATAATTCTTGCTTTCTTGGGAGCATTTCTTCGCTCCGATGGCCATTGGACATGTTTCTTTGATAATTTCTCCAGCAAACGGACGATTTCATCATAAGTGAAATCCAAGAGATCTCCATCAGCAGCTGCATCAACAGTAGCCTTCAATTAAGGTGTCAACCCATGATAGAAAGTATGAATAACCCCCCGATCCGAGACTCCATGGTTAGGACAGATTCGCAACAGCTCCTTATATCGCTCCCAAGCTTCATGCAAACTATCTCCATCAAACATCTGAAACGATGCTATGTTAGCTCTCACTTGAGCTTGCTTTACATGAGGGAATAATCGAGCTACAAACTGCTCTGTGAGTTGCTCCCAAGTCATAATCGAATTTCGAGGCAAAGTTCTTATCCATCCCTTAGCTTTTCCTACTACACAGAATGGAAAGAGTCTCATACACATGTTCTCTTCTGGAATCCCCTGAACTCTGAAATTATCAACCATCTCAGTGAAATTGTCCAGATGACTATGTTGGTCTTCCATGGGCAATCCATGAAATTGACCAACATTCATAATCATTTGAAATATTGCTGGTTTGATTTCAAAGTTGGGTACATTAAGAGGGGGAGGAACGTAACCTCTGTTTGGACCATTTCTGAAGGGAGCAGCCATATCATTTAAGGATGGCCCTCTTCCTCCATTTGGTCATTCTCCATTCTCGTTATTATTTCCATTATTCCCATTATTACAATTTTCACCGTTATTCAAAACCTCTGCTATTGTATTCTGTCTTAATCTCTGAACTCTTCTTCTGTTTCTAAAACTCCTTTCGGGCTCTGGGTCAAAAAGTATTGTCTCAAGTCCCAATTCGTCAAGTTTTGTGTTCATACAATGGAAGTAAAACGGGAGCAATGGTACATAACATAAAATAAAATAAAATGAAAGTATAAACAGTGCTTCCTTCTAAAATGCCGACTTTTGCTAAAATGTCCCCGGCAACGGTGCCAATTGCTTGTCGAACCGAAAGGTGCTCTAGGATATTACAGGAGAAAAAGCGTGCAAGGAGAAAATTTACTACGAGGAGCAATTAATCAAATGAGGAGCAACTCTACCCAAGATGCGCAAGCGCACGAGTCAAGCAATATAGGGTTTTCAAAGAGCCCCAGATTATCGTCCTCAGGGAACAAATGTAAAAATTGCGTTGAAAAGGAAACAATTTAAGAATAAACAAAACGAAGAGCAATAGAATAAACATTCTAGGTTGAAACTGTCCAAAGAGCACTTTCTACTAGCTAGTTAAATAGAGTTAACCAATCTAAGTAGCTGAACGCTGGGAGTCATTCTTAACCTTCATTGAACAATAATAACATTAAAATCACGTTAAACAGTAAAGATCATCGAGTTTGAAAGCAATGACTATCACCAGGAATCACTTTGAGCAATTATGTTTTTCTTGGATTTTAGTTTTCAGAATATCAAAAGCTTGAATAAAGATAAACAGAAAGTAAGAAAGTAGGTTTTCAAGTTCAGTATTTTCACCCCCTTGGTTGAACCTGCAACGTTACACATTTTTCGAATTGAGCTATGCTCCTGTCTCCATTACGGTTTATCCAATATAACCTGGAGTAAAGGCCTTTTTTTTCCAGATCACTCTTGAAGTTTATTGAATTTTAAACTTAAGGAGATCATGTTTGCCTTCTCAGAAGAGCTTGGAGAAGGGATCACTAGGAAAAGTGATTTACACATGACAATGCTCCCCTTTCTGGATATTCCTCTGATTCAGAGCAAAATATCCTAAGACTTCTAATTTCGCTCCACACTACTTTGTGAGGGTTTCATCGACCAAGTGGGCCTGGGATGAGTTTGCAAACCAAAGGGCATTGCGAAATCAGAACATTAAAACAAGGAATATCTCATAATTCATTAAGGAAAAGATGGTTTCATTACAAATTCATCCTAAGACAAAGATGGTTACTTCTACCTCGCCCTTGACCTACTTAAGAGAATTAGCTCATGAAGAGCATAACTGCAACTACAAAAGAAAAAAAATGAAAAGAAAAACTCTTTTGAAAATTCTCAGACGTGAGGTTGAAGAAGATCCTCCCCTGTGGTTTAGCTCTCCTCTCTTTGTAGCTGAGGTCCTTGCTTTCAATCTCAGCCGCTCCATGAATCTACAACCTAACTTTCCTCAATTCCTCTCCAATCACAGCGATGCTCCTTGCCAAATCAGCCCTATTGCAGTTGTGGTCCCCTCATTCCCTTCATTCCTTTTGCATGAAATTTGCACAGTGAAGGCACTCCTACATTCTCTGCTGAAGCTGACGTGGAGGCGCTTGATTGCGTGCTTTTTCTGCGCCTGTACTATAGCGTGCTTTCCTGTCTCCCTTTGGTGCTACATTTTTACTTTTCTTCCAAGTTTCTCCTTCATTGAATTAGGCTTTCTTTGGTTGGGCTTCAAGGTTACTGCAAGAGCAATTTGATCCATTAAACACATAAAAGAAAGAATCATATCAAATTGTTCCAGTACTGCCTTAATTCCCATATTACGTATTGCTCCAACCCAATATAACAAATATCTTCTCCTTGTAGAGAAAATGGAAGAAAAGTGCAAGTTACACATCAATAATTTGGATTTAAGGAGCATCCACACCATCAATGGACATAAACTTTTGAGGACCATCAGTAACATTCAAATTCAACCTTCCTTGTTTCTTAAAAATGTTCTTTATGTTCCTCAGCTTTCCACTAATTTTATATTCACTCATAAGCTGTTGGGTGAGGCTATATTAATGACTTTATATTTCTCTAGCAGAGTTTCATAGCCATGTCATAATAAGAGAGTCTTCATCATCCCAATTAGCAAATTTTGGATCTATTTTGGCAGGGGTAGGTCCTTCAAAATGAGCAATCTTACGAAGTCCTTTGAGGATCGCACGAACAAGCTGGGACCATTGTAAATAATTTTTTTCATTAAGACGATAATTCTGATGGAGAACGGGAAGATCATTTGGACAAAGAGGAGCCATAGGGTGTGTAATAGGTTGTAACATTTGGTTGAACGGTTGCAGTGCTCTCAACGTCCGACATAGCGCTTAAAGGTAAAAAAGGAACCTTTAGACACAAATAAACAACACACAATGAGCGGGTAAGTACCATAGAAGCCTTTGAACGTCCCAGACAGTAAGAAATGTATCAGATCTGATCAAAGGAGGCTCGATTGGCTAAAAAAGATCTGATTTTTATGACAAGATCAAAGACCCACTGCTGGAAAAGTGTCTTAACAAGCAGGTAAGGACAGATCTGGAACCGGGAAGTCAAGATGATTACAACCGAGGTGGTTTGAGGCAGAACGGAGGCGGAACGCGTTGGGAAAGTGGTGGTGCGTGAGACCCACTTGTAGAGTTTGGTCCGCGTGTGAGGGCTTCAGCGGCGGTGGGCTTTTGTGCAACTTTGGTTCCCGGTGGTGCGACCTATTATGGGTGGTCAGTGCTCAAAAGCTGCCGAAAAAGTGGTTGTCCGGAATTTGAACAGTCATTGGAGGCTTTTACGAGCAATCAGAGAAGCGTGGGGTCTTCTTACGGTGGTCTTCTCGGTCCAAAGAGGTCCTTGAAAATTTTTTCGGTGGCGGTGAGGTGACCAGAGATTGTCAGAAAGGAATTCCGCACTCAAGGTGGCAAATGCAGAAGCTAAGAGGGCTCCTAGATCGAGAGTTCTTATGCCAACTTGAAGGAAAGAGTGAAGATTATTGTTATTGTGTAGAATACAAACAACAGGTTACAATATATAGAAGCCTAATGGGCTTAAAGGAATAAACCCAAATACTAAAAAGGAAAGAAATCCTAAGAAGAAAAGGAAACAAATAATTACAATATAAACTAGAGATAATTCTAATATTTACAACAATATGTTTAGTTCATATTCACGTAGATGCTCATAATGCTTTACGATTTGGAGAAACCAATGCAGGTCTTTTGTGGTCAATGGAAAGAAAGCAACAAATTGTTTTCATTTAGAGGAGACTCAAACTGGCTTGGCTTTAGTAAGGTACTGTATTTAAAAGCTTATATGCACATATGAATTGCAGATATGCATGCATTCGGGTTTCTTACCAGAATTTCATTTTCCTCGTAGTGTAAAAATATTCTTCATATGTTATCAAAAAAAAAAAAAAATATTCTTCATAATGATGAGTTTTTCATTATTATTTATGAAAAGGCAAGTCCAGTGTCATATTTTTCTCCTTTTTATTTGTTAGAGTTGCATATTTCAGGTCTGTATGTAGCCTGTTTTTTATTTTTTACTTCCCTATGTTATCTAGCTGAAGTCTAACTGTTGGTCTTGGATCTGCTTACACTTAATATTTTCCATACTTTTTAACTATCTTTTGCATTTGAATGATAAAATTTACACACACTGCTTTTTGTGACTTAGTTGTGCAATCACTTCATAATATGATCTGCACTTCTGATATATCTTGTGTATATCCTATTATAAGACTATATTTTCTACAGCTTAGTATTGGTTATAATTTTAGAACTTCTAGCATCACCTATATTAGTTGTGTGTGGCTATCAGTACCCACATGAAGTTGTTATGGACCAGATATAATCAACTCAAATATTACTAACTGTTAGAATTATAAAACCAATCTTGTGCATTCAATAACAGTTTAGGCTTTTAGGTGAATTTTTCCTTGACGTGATATTAAAGCTTATGTGACTAAGCAGTTAGGAATTCCATCTTTATTATTCCCATTCTTCTAATAAAAAGTTGAATAACACAAGGTAGAATGAATCTGGGTATTGTCCATGCTTCAAACACAAATAGCTCGTGTGAGGTGTGTTAGAAAAATAAATCCAATCTTGTCTTCACTAGGCTTTAGCTTTAGGATAGTTTATTGTTAACAAGGATATATATTAGACCAGAGAAAAACTGAATGCTCATGCTCTCACGCAAACGCAGTCAAGAGCATAGCCATGGCCCTACCACTCACCACATGGTGATGAACCCGCATCTTATCACCATAAGCTATTCAAGATTATGTCTACCACAAATATTACCTTGGAACTTCTTAGAAATTGTGTATGTAGTAGGTATGAAATGCCATATCTGCAAAGAGGTCCTCTTATCGAGTCACTCTTTTGTTGAATCATTCCAAAATTGATATCCCTCAAGTATTGTGGTTCTTTCTTGACTTTTAAATTTTATGAAGAGAGTTAAAATGAAAGGGTTTATCTGAGGTTGGGGGACTTTGCTCTTAATCTTTTACACGGGCATCCTTCACTGTCAAATGACATGGTTAAACCTTAGTAGAATTGTTATATATAGTAAAGTACTTGAAGTGTGTTGTTGCAGGAGTAAAAATAAGGATAAGTTGAATGAGGGGAGCGAAAATTAGCCATGGATCGAAAGATGCATGATGACTAAGTATATTGTTGTCTATCCTTCCCATTCTTGCTAGTTTCACCTCTTTGGTTCTGCCTAGCACATAGATAATGTGGGCTAGATTGTAGTTTCTTCTTTCGGAGCTTTCTCTCTATTTTATCTTTAAATATTTATTGGCTTGTACTTGTGTGGGATATTGCTTCTATCTAATATTATTGCATGTTAAATTGCAGTGCTCCAACAAAGATGTTTTGGGAGGATGGTGTGACTCGGGTAGCATATTTATAGCTGATGTTGAGTGAAATTGATAAATTGGTGTCTGTCCAGTAGTGTTCCCTTCTATGCAGATGTTTTTGTTGCTTCAATGTGTGTAACCATTGTAGAGTCTCATGTGTCAAGGGAAAAAGAAAAATAGTGAATTTATTGTTTGAAAATTTTTCATAAGCAAAACATGTTGCAATGCATTTCTAGCCACAGAATGTGAATTCAGATTACGGATGCATTATTTTTGTCCACTGTTTCAATTTTGTCATGTTCATTTTAAGTTCCAATTTTGACATTTTAATTATTGAAATATCTAGGCTAATTTTATGGTTTACAAAGAAAGCCATTATTGTGACATAGCATTGAACATGATCATATGATCATTCAATGTGCAGATGTACTTTTTGCTGCCCAAGATTCTAAGCTTTTCATGGCTTTCCCTTGTATGTTTGTAGCTTTTTAAACTTTCAGCATCATGTCTTGCCTCATATCATGGAGGTCCTCTCTCTCTCTCTCTCTCTCTCTCTATATATATATATATATATATATAGGCTTTCATGTTTCTGTTTCTACGGTGAATGTAAATAAGTTATCTATATTTATTTTTAAAACGATGTCGTTTTGAGTTAAAAAATTAAAAAATTAAAAAATTATAATGAGAAAGACTATTATAACTCTGAAATAAATTATAATTACAAAAATACCTTGATTTCCTTTCTAAAACGACGTCATTTTGGGTTTAATATAGATAACTTATCTGCATTGACCGCAGAAAAAATGAACCCATATATATACTTCTAGGCTTTTAGCTCTAGATCATATCCTAACATTAGATTAAAATTGCAATGTAAGTTAAATGTACTTTTTGTGCCTTGACATAACACAGATAAACTAAATCATGATAACAAATGGTAGGCATAAAATATATATTAAAGAGAAAGTGTCCAATGTTGAGATGAAATCATCAGTGTTTATCCTCGCTTAACTTCTTGAGATCATCATAAGATATAACTAAATTGCACAAAAGAACTGCACTAATCCAAAATGATTTCTTATTTTCACCTTACTTTTTAATCATATTTATCACAAAATATGAGCATCATTTAATTCAAAAGTTCTCATCAACCAAAAAAAAAGATTAGTGTAAAAAAAGAAGGTCAACCGGTCCAAACCAAGTTGATTGATCCAAATGGTCGCTCATACTGGAAAACCCACCGGGTCACCAAGACCCGGGTCAACCCGATCGGTCCGAGCCAGTTTTTAAAACACTGGTTGCAACTCCTGAAAATGGTGGAAAAGTTCAAATCTAAAATTGAAAATGGTGGAAAAGTTCAAATCTAAAATTGAATTACATCTATTAGTATCTATAAAATAAAAAAACAAATTTTTTTCCCTATATGCATCACATCTACGGTTTTACTTAATTGAAGGGATAATGTTTGATGGTGGATCATCAGTATCTTTTTGGCATTATAGAATGATATTCTTAAGTATAATCACGCATGCATATCAAGCAACTCAAGTTTCCAAGTAGATATTGAATTGAACATATATTTGGGGTTCCAAACGCAATTTATTTTTTCGCTTATGTCATCAAAAATAGAAGTGAACAAGTGGATATTAGTCAATTACTTGGGGTGCCAACCTCATTTGCTTTTGTCAAATGCAAAGATATTAACTTTGGGACTTTGAGATTTTGAAAACTGGGACTGAGTTTGTTATGAACAATTTGGTGGGCTTGCCAGCCACAAGCCAGCGAATCAATGCGTCATACATACTTGAGAATAAAGAGACGTACCTATCAAAATACGTAATCAATATTTAAAAATTAGTAACATTAAAATTAATTTTTTTATAATATATTATATCTCTTTTCACCTATTATTAGTGAAACGTAAAATTTAATATTTCTATCTAATTTTTATACTAATTTTTTATTTAAAAAAAAAAAAACAAGTACAAGTGTATTGTAGAATTCAGATAGAAAATCACATTGCCCATGAGTGCAATTGGTTCATAGCTTTTGAGAAAGAAGTATAGATAAAAAGAACCCCGTTTATCAATTCCATACCATGGTGAAGAGCAACACAGTACCCGTGCAATTGTTTAATAATCTGATTGAAGATTTTTCTTATTCAGCAAAACAAAAAAACAAAATAAAAAAAGAAGTTTCTATCTGAATATTTTTGGATCAGATTCTTTTCTTGAAGCCTAAGCTCCAATTTGTTTCTCCATTTAATAATTATATGGGGTTATATTATGTTCATTTTATATCAATTTTTATATAGTCTTTTTATTTTCTTTTGCTTTTCTACTACATAAATTATTATGAAGATAAATTACAAATCAGCATCAAATAATAGCATGCTAGAAGCTGTACTGGGTAGTCAGAGCATTAATATGTCCCTCTCATATAATTATATAAATTAAATGAACCTTACGGAAAATGAATTGTCTATGGTCTGGTTTCCATTTACTTGAGGTTGAGGCATATACATTGTTGATAATTTATCCCTCTTAAATATAAAAAGATAGGTGGCTTAACTACACACTCTGTTAAGATCGAATATCCATTAGTAGATGAGTTTCACTATATATGTACATTAACCCTTTCTTATTTTAAAAGGAATAACCTAAATTAAATGTGGGGCATGTCCACATCAAAGCTGAAAGTGATAGCTGCCAGCTGACCCTATACATGTCAGAAAATTCCTATCTAATAGGACATCCAAAGCCTTTTAATTTTTTGCTACTACAAAAACTGCACATATAGTGCCAAACATAAGCTACAACAATAATCTGTTATGAACTGATTCATATCTCAAAAATCTATCCTAAATAGCATAGAATTAAAGAAGCACATTCCTATTAGGACTCTAAACCTACATATAACCCCTTTTATAAATAAAGGATTAAAGTTAGTGGTGACAAAGTGGCGGCCCGCCCCGTCCCGCTATTGTAACACCCCGTGTGCACCTGGTGTATTAACATACGAATGGTAATGGCGCAGCTATTTAAATGCGGAAGCTAACTTTTTTAAAACATTCATTTATGACGTCATTATTATTAACCAATTTGATTATTAAATCTTTTTTCAAAATATTGCATGTATGTAATTGCAACAAAACAAACTACACTGAATAACCTCATTATTATAGATGTTTATCTAATCAAGGAACTACAACACGTAGCTCGGACAATATCCTGATACCATTATACAACTCAAATCTAAAATATCAAACATCGTCAATCAATGTGGTATGGACAACCCCATGCTCTCCAAACTACAAAGCCCAACAAAGTCTCAGCTCAATAAACCATAAAATGAAACAAAAACATAAGCAACATCCAATCATATCAGCATAAGCATGTAAACAACAGTCAACTAAGCTCCAGCCTCCTGCCGCCCGAGGTCTCAACCCCCGAGGTATCTGAACCTGAAAATGTGCCCCAAACGTGGGGTGAGATCTCTAAAAAGAAATCTCAGTAAGACAAGTGGTCCTCAAGGACTCTTTCGCCCCAAGCTCACTTACAAGTATAATATAAGTTAAAAAACAGTATTTTCAATGTATGTTCATGTTAAAGCATTTAAATCATGACAGTTTAATCTCTTGCACAACTAGTCAAATACTACAACTCATTAATCATGTGATGTATGCAAGTGCGGTTCGACTGGCCAGGGAACAGGATAGGGCTTATACATGTCTGTTACCTACCCACATGAGGGAGGCTACCTCATGCCTTGCACACCAGGGTGGCTGCCTGATCATTAGGGCTGTGCATGTGTCAGGTCGGGTCAGGTTTTTGTCCGACTCGACCCAACTTGGTTTTTATAGGTCAGGTATTTTGACTCGACCCGCTTTAATTTGATCCAAGTCAGGTCTGACTTGGATTGGATTTTGTTGAACTAGTTCAGAACCAGTTTGGATCTGACCTGACTTGGTTTCTGAAGTAGGTCTGACTTGGTTTATGAACTGGGTCAAATCTGACCTGACCCGTTTTTGACTTTGTTTTCTCACAAAATTTTGTCGAGATATTTACGTTGCAAAAGACGAAAATTTCGTCACAAAATTATTTTTTCGTCGAAATTTTTACAAAAAAAAAAATTTCTATTGAAATTTAGTTTCCGTCAACAGTTTTGACGAAAATGATTTCTTCCATCAAATGTTTTAAACGAAAAAAGAATTTTGTCAAAAAATTTGACGGAATGTTTTGCGTTCAAAATTTCGACGGCAATGTGTTCTGACGAAAATTTTGACGGAAATTATTTCGAGGGAAATGTTTCATTTGAAACTTTCGAGGAAATTTAGATTCTCTAAAGAATTTTGACAGAATATTTTTTTCGTCAAAATGTTTTTTGTCAAAAAAATTTACCGAATTTTTTTATTGAAATGTGTTTCGTTGAAAATTTTGATGGAAATTTTTTATCAAAAAACTTGACGAAAATATTTAGTTGAAAATTTTCGATGGAAATGTGTTTCTCTAAAAATTTCGACGAAAACTTTTTTTGTCAAAAAATTTAACGAAAATTTTTTCGTCGAAAACTTTCGCCGAAATTTGAAATCTGTAAAGAATTTTTTTGCCGTTAAAATTTTTTGTCGTCAATATTTTTTGATGACGAAAATGTTTCCGTCGAAAACTTTCGCCAAAATTTGAAATCTGTAAAGAATTTTGATGAAATTTTTTGCCGTCAAAATGCTTTGATGACGAAAATATTTCCGTCGAAAACTTTCGCCGAAATTTGAAATCTGTAAAGAATTTTAATGAAATTTTTTGCGGTCAAATTTTTTTGATGGAAATGTGTTTCATCGAAATTTTCAATGGAAAATGTTTTGAGGAAATTGTTTCATTTGAAACTTTCGACGAAATTTAGATTCTCTAAAGAATTTAGACAAAATATTTTTTCTGTCAAAATTTCTTCTCGAAATATTTTTGTCAAAAAATTTTACGAATTTTTTTTACAGAAATGTGTTCCGTTGAAAATTTTGATGGATATATTCTTTATCAAAAAACTTGACGAAAATATTTAGTCGAAAAATTTTGATAGAAATGTGTTTTACTAAAAATTTCGACGAAATTTTTTTTTGTCAAAAAGTTTTACGAAAATGTTTCCGTCGAAAACTTTCGCCGAAATTTGAAATCTGTAAAGAATTTTGATGAAATTTTTTTCCGTCAAAGAATTTCGATGAAAATGTGTTTCGTCGAAAGTTTTTATGAATATATTTTTTTGTGAAATATTTTGAC